TGTGTGTGTGTGTATAGCACAATTAACACGTAATGTATTAACTGCCATAATGATAATTTATAAGACAAAATATTTTTTATTACCAAATGTCTTATTCATTAATTAAGAACTTATATACATTGTATGAGAACTGTCAATGACTTGCAAATAAAACTAGAAATTGGAATAATATGATTAATATAAAATCAACCAATATCAAAATAACTTAATTTGAATCGAGAAACATTTTTATTCTTTTCAACATTTTTATTTTTATTTCTCATAATTTTCTGTTACTTAGCTGTGTTAAGCATTTTCTTCGTATACATTTAGTATAAAATTAAGTAGAAGCAATATAGAAAAAGTATTGTTAGCAATGTGAACATTAAGTTTTTTTACTGTTTTTCGTTCATCAATTATTGTCTTTGCGACCATTAATGTCACTCGAACAAGCCGATTACGAAAGAACAATTAAAGAAACGATAGAATCAACATAATGAGATGAATTTATATTCGACAAATAACGTATGAGCCCCGTTCTGTCGGTCGCTGAAACGAAACGCGAAAGCCGAACGTTCTGTTCGACGTCGATAGCTCTTTTTTTACTCGAGATCGATCGAAAATCCAACTGACTGCCGATCAGCGCCACATGCGTGATCGATCGATCGATATCGAATGGAGCGTTTATCAGGCAACATAATACAATAAGTTATTCAAAATGTTATCCGAAATGTTAAAGAAAAAAAATAACAAATAACAAAAGCGATGGAAACAGTGACAAACACGCTTACACAGATACACGTGGTTACTCCACACAAGTATACATACATACATACACATATACATACAAGATGTTAATAAATTGGAATAAATGTTACGACTATATTTCAAAATTTCCACTTTCTCTTCAAGCATCCTATCACATAAAGGCGCAATAAATTTTTATCAAGTTTTTATTAATGTCCTATAAATGCTAGATAATAAGTATTTTATACTTTTATTTAATATTATTTTTGTAATTATTATTTTTAATAATTTTATATTTCATAAAATTTTCACGCTGGACAATTTTATATTTAATTATTTATTTGAAGAGAACATTTGTGTGTACGTACCTTTGTTTATATAATTTCTATTTTGTTTTTATTTTTATTAACGTCATGATTATTTTTAAATATTTGACTTTCAGAACAAATTAATATTATATTACATAATAAAGAATACGAAAAGATATCAGTAATTCATATCGTAATTAAGGTATTAAAAGACTTGCATGTTGTAAACAGCTCTTATCAAAGAATGATAAACTATTTTTATTTAACCGTAGATTTCTCACTAATTTCAAGTGTAGTATGTTTTTAAAGCAGTGTTATCGCATTGATAGCAGTATCGCATTTTAGCGAGAAATAATCGTCAATTAGACATCGTCGATTCGCCATCAATTTGATAAGTCATTTCTTATTAGGACATTGTATTTCGGCGGCGAATCTAGTACTGTATACATTGTATGTGTTATATGGCGTAAAAAGTTCTAAGCACCAAATTAATGAATTAAGATTAAAGGTGAGTAAGAAACTTAAATTTAAACAACTTTTTTTATAAATATAAATATAAAGAGTTATATAACAATTAAGTACTATTAAAAAGAAATTTTCCATAATTTATAATACACTGTAATAATTTTTAAATAACTTTAAAAACGAATAAATATAAAATATCTAAGGTGTACAGAAGGTACAGGCCTGGGGCAGAACGCGGCTCGCGAATCGGCCCCTTTAGCGAATGCTTTCTTCTCTAACTCGGCCCGTTGCAGTTAATTTTAAGGATGATGTCAACTGATATCGCGATAAGTGATAGAGTCAATTCCCTAAGTGCGGTCTATTTGACGCTCTACAAATGCTTCGAAACTTTTGATTGATCAATTGGAGGAAAGAATTTTACTAACTGACCAATCAAAAAATGCTCCGATTCGTAGCATCGAGTGGACCGTAGCTCTTATCGACCAAATTATCGAATACTTTATTTTTTGCTGTCTACATTGTGTAATAAAAAAACATGAGAAAGGATAGATTCTTATTATTGAAGTTGGAGGGGGAAGCGTTCGCTGGAGAGGCTGATTTACGAATGCAAGGCCTGCAGTATGTTTTTAACGATCTTCGTACTTTAGTATAACTTTTTATTTATTCGTTTTACGTTTGCTTGAAAAAAAATGGTATTATTAGTTGCTTTTCAAAATTTTAATATATCATATAATAACATAAGAGTATTTTTTGTAAATTACATTAAAACCTGGTATATGCTACAAAACATTATCGCATTTATTATTGATTACAGTACAAATAATACGTCACAAATCACTCGAGAGTTAACATTCACAACAGCAGTAAAAAAAAATTGCAACAGTTACGTCCCTCGATAATAGTGATCATGGACTACACAAAATTCTTCTCTAAAATCACTAGTAGACGGAAAACAAACTTAATTAGAGACTTAAGTAAGTAGACATTACATTCATTTTCATCTGTTATATACTTCTTTATTCAAAATTCATTCTCTCAAATAAACATATGGAAGTATTCTTACATTACGTGAATTTATTTCTGAGCTCCGAATGTAAAATAGTTAAAAATCAGAGAAAAAAATAAGAGCTTTTTTCCTTTAATAGTGATTTTCTTATCAAAAATTGAAGTAATCTTTCACTAATTTGTTCGATTTTAAATTAAATCATGAGGCATATGGAAGAACCGTTTTAAAAATTTTGAGTACTCATGCTTTATAACTATATATTTAAATCTTTCGAAAATATTATAATATATATATTTTTTATTATATCTGCAAATTTTGAAATATTTAACAATGATATTCAGATCAATAAATACATATGCGGAATTTATAGCGCAAAATTATACACGAAAAAATACATGTTAATACAATGTCACTATTTATTCTATTTATCTTTTTTAATTTTAAATTAGCCCATCTCTACATGATACGACAAAATGGTGTAAATCTGGCTGGTGGTATGCCAAATACCTCTACATATCCCATCAATAATATTTCTATGACATATAAATATGATGTCCCAGTAGAACTTAACAAGCAAGAAACGTCTGCAGTTTTACAATATGGATCTTCGCAAGGGTAAAAATATTAGCAAATAAATACAAACTTTGTGTTCTCTAATTATATAAAATAAAAAACAAATTTTTATTAAATATCAAAGACAAAAAATAAATTTTGAATAATTTAAAAATTCTAAACTAATTTTATTTTTTATCCAATTTATTTTTTTATTTTTTATTTTATATAATGTTACATATAATATATAATGTTATTTATGTTATATATAATATTTATTTTATATATAATACTTTTTCATGTTTTTATAAAATAATTATAAATTTTATATTATTTGTTAACATAAGTATCATTATTTATCATTTAATTAATAAAAAAATATATTTTTTGTATAGTTAAGCTACATTTTAATATATCTGAATTAATATTTATCACATCTCTTGTCAAAGTTACGCGCCATTATTAGAAAAATGGAAGGAATTCCAAAAAACATGGCATTCACCAAAGCGAAATGATTGGGATGTAGCGTTTACATGCGGTACTATGGACGGTTGTGAAAAAATATTTCAAATGCTGATTAATGAGAATGATCCAGTTATGCTTCAAGTACCAACATATACAGGAATAATCGGAGCGGTATGTTATTTTAAAATAATATTATAATATTATAATATTAATAAAGTAATAAAAAATAGAAATACCAAAAATATACAAGTAAAAAGTGTAAGAAATTTTATTTACAACTTTAAAATTTATATCTTATGTTACACTGTTCAAATTAACTGAAGTTAATCTTAGATAAAATATCTTGGAATAAAATATTTCATAAATATTTGATTTTCACCGATCTTATTTTTATAAGATAAATTTTAAGATTAAATTTTATCATATCAAACGATAAAATTCAAATGATAAAATTATCAATATAACAAATACACAATATTTAAAATAATAGTGCAATTTCAGATTGCATATTATAAATTTAATAAATTTAATATAAAAAAGCAAAATTTGTATTTATTCTTCTCTAATACAATATTATCTTTAATATTTAAAAGACATTAATAAATTATTTTTAAAGAATAATTTTCCAAAGTTTTTCTCTTTTTTTATTTATAGTTAGCACCTCTATCACCAGATGTTATAGAAATTAATCAAGATGCTGATGGGATAATTCCTGAGGAAATTTCCAAAAAATGCGAAGAAAGACTTAAAGATGGTAGACCAATGCCAAAAGTGAGTTACAAAAGTATTGTGTCAAATCACTTTTCAAATTGCATAAAAAATAAGAAAGCAATCATTTATTTTCGGATCTTTATTTTTATTCGTAAAAATATTTTACTTTGCTTTTAATTTAACTTCGGGTAAAAATTACTTTCCATTAAAAAAATTATAATTTTAAATAATTCACATATGAAATAACTTATATATATATAT